CTGCTCCCCTACCCCAGGCGTCCACAACAAAAGCCTGGTCTTCTGGGGGGAGGCCTAGCGCCCCCCCCTCCCCCCCCCCAGCAGACCAGGGAGACCCGGAGCAAAGCCGCAGAGGCGTGGGACCCCGCCGCCTCCAAGGCTTTGCTCCGGGTGTCCCTGGTCTGCTCGGGGTGTCCTTGGTCTGCTGGGAGGGGTCCCCAGCAGACCAGGAACACCCGGAGCAGCTTTTCTCGCCCCAGAGGACGCGGTGGCGGGACCACTGCGCGTCTGGGTGGTCCTGCCGCCCGTGAGTTCCGGGGTGAGAAAAGCCCCGTTCGTAAGTGCGGATCCGACATAAGTCGGATCCGCGTAACTCGGGGACTGCCTGTAATGTGTTTGCTCTTAAGACACGGAATATCAGAGGTATCTCAAAATAGCTCCGCAGTGTAGACATAGCTAAGGTTCCTTCCAGGTCTAGGCTTCTATGACACTTTATTTACCTGAACATCTGTAGGTACAGCTGCTCTCCAGTCCCATTGGCCATAGTTTGCCAATCCCAGCCAATAGGAGTCATGAGAAATGGCATGGTGAACCATAGCCAACGGGAACTGCGAGGAGCTGTATCTGTGGACACTCATTTAAATAAAATGTCTTTGCAGCCTGCCAGAGGCTAAACCTGGCAAATTGTATCTGGCCTGTGAGCTGCTTGTTACCCACCCCAGGTATAACCCCTTCTGATGAAAATCAGCCTCTCACATTACTTAATGTCTTTTCTTGTGTGCAGACTTACACAGTCACAGACGCTCACAATATCATGACTCAAATAATATCTGTCAATAAGGGATTACAAATGTTATGAATGAGATTAATGCATGCAGCAAGTGACAAGCGTTCAATAAAATCTAAACACATTCTTATAATTTATACCTCTTAACAAGGACACACAAGTGATTCCAGCTATTTGTCAGGGGCCATTTGAGTATGGGGACCTTCACACGAACTGGCACTTGCTCTGCCAGCATCACAGGTAGTTCATTGCAGCCTATGAAGAAGTTGGGCTATAAAAGAAAGCATGCTCTCAGATATACTGTAATAAGGCTAGAAGAAATACATTAAACATAAGACACATTTAGTTTCCAGAAAATATACCAAATTGACAGTCTTTTGTTCACTATGTATAGTATAGGGATAAGCATGGATCATGACAATGCAAACTTCCACTCGTTAGTCTGCAAATATTCCTCAGCCCTATCTCCTCTGATGAATACTGGTTAGTTGTCTTCATATTCAATTCTTGCTCTCTCCTGAAACAGCCTCATGAATGTCAGTTGTACAGGTTGGATCTCCAAAAACCAGGACTCCCTCGTCCGGCCACATCCGTGGTCCAGCAGAACCACAGATGTTCCTGAAACAGGGAGTCTTGGCTGAGCACCCCAGTGGCAAGAGGGCTGGCATCTCAGGGTACGTCTAGACTACATGCCTCTGTCGCCAGAGGCATGTAGATTAGGCTACCAGACATAGGAAAATGAAGCAGCGATTTAAATAATCACCGCTTCATTTAAATTTACATGGCTGCCGTGCTGAGCCGACAAACAGCTGATCAGCTGTTTGTCGGCTCAGCACGGCAGCCATGTAAATTTAAATGAAGCGGCGATTATTTAAATCACTGCTTCATTTTCCTATGTCTGGTAGCCTAATCTACATGCCTCTGGCGACAGAGGCATGTAGTCTAGACGTACCCTCAGAGCCCAGTGGGGCTGGTGCTGGTACTGGTTCAGAGCCCTGGTAGCACAGCTAGGGCTGCAGCAGCCCCAGTAGTGGGACCAGGGACATGGCAGACGCAGTAACCCGGATAGCGGAGGCGGGGCCGGGGATGTGGCAGCCCCAGTAGCGGGGATAGCTACAGCCAGCAGCGGGGCTGGGAGGCAGGCTAGAGGGCTGGTAGCAGGAGGCCTTCCCTGGACCAGCAAATTCCCTTGTTCAGAACTGGTCGGGTCCCGACGGTGCTGAACCAGAAAGGTCCAACCTGTACTTATTTTTATTTAGTGAACTGCAGCCTCTCAATCATTTCACACAGATCATCAAACAGCCTTCAGATGGTAATGACTTTGAAAATCTTATTAACCCAAAAATGAATTCCTGAAGACTCTAGAATCCATATGTAGAAATCTAATTAAAAGACCTGATTCTGAGAAGCATGGAGCACCCTGTGGCTCCTATTTGAAGTGTGTGTGGGAGGGAGAATCTTCAGGATCTTGCAAAAGATAATCACATGTGGGTTGCTAAATATGAACTTAAACTCTTTTTAAGCACCTGAAAAAAACTTGATTTATGTCCCTTAGTACAATGCCTGAGTGACTCATACAGTTTTAGTGGTCTTGTGCAGTTTTAATGGCTTTTACATAATGAAGTCTGTTGACTTCATATTACTAACAGGATTCAAAATTAAATGTCAATATTTCCCATAATTTTCAAAATCAAACATCAAAATTTAAGCTTCATCAAAATGTAAAAGTGAATGGGAGGGTAAACTATTTTATGGGGCACTGATTATTTTCACATATTCGTTTAATCACTGGGTCAGCTACATCAGGTGCATTAAGTTCATATGATTCTGAGGAACACCACTCCTACCATGGTTCTGTACAAATTAAGGATATAATTTTTAATCTATTTACATTTTTATCAGACAAGAAAGAAATTTTACCAAGCTTGGCTAAAGAACTGGAACGGAAAACAAACTCAAAAACTGAAGAGGTATTTCCTGTCACTTTGAAAATAACAACATTCTCTCCTGTCTAGTTGTACATGATAATAAGTTGAAGATTTTTTTATATATTTATTTTTATTTAAATAGAATGTGTGTGCAAGTGGAACTGAATTTGAATCTTGTAAGTTTTTAAAGGGACATTCTCTAGATATTTAGCTGCAGCTTTTCAAGTGACTGATATTTAAATTGCATACATGCATCTTGGATATTATTCAGCAGAGAATCTGTTGCCTATTCCACTGGCATACTTCCCCTTTTAAATGGCTATTTAATGTCCCAATCTATGTTGGGTTTTTTAAGGGAAGGAGTCATATTGTGAATAAGCTTTTTATGGTAAATAGTTCTTCTGAAAATACGCATGTCTAAATTTTATAGTCATTAATGTCCTTTCAATAGGTATTGTTAAGTAACTCTTCTCCACTGTTGGTGTGTGTAATGCGTGCTGTGCTGCAAAAAAAAAATGTATTCCCTGGATTTCTCTTGAAACTAGAAAAATTGACTTAGTTTAAGGAAGATATTTTTACTGTCACAACAGCTATATACTCTGGTGATAGCTGTTTAGAAGAATTTATAGTTTGGGATAAATTTAGATTAGTGGTGTACACTAAAGTACTTTCAGAGATTTTCACTTAGAGAGAATAATCCCTAGAAACTGTGTCTGGAGCTCAAGTGATTTCTCTTGAGATCTCTAAATTATAATAATCCATTGTTTCTGCAGCAGATTTAGCAGTTAAGTAGAAGTAATGGTACTGTGCTTTTGAGTGATATAATACCGCTAATCCTCATTATTAACTAACATGCTATATCAGTATTAGATTGAAAATCAGTTCAAAATCTTGTAATTCAAAGATCTCTTGACATTGCTGCAATAAGGCAATATGATACCTGTTATTTTGAATGCAAGACTTCCCCTCACCCCTCCCCATATACCTGAAGTATTTTGTTTCCTTTGTATTTTTTTTTTTACCCACAGAAGTCTAGAAATCCAATGAGGGAAGAACCACATGAGGAGTCCCATACAGAGTATCTAAAAGGTAGATTTATTTTGTGGTGATTTAGTACTTCTGTTAGTTTGGCACTGATGCAATCACTACTGAAATACTTTGTCCAATTCTCAGGTCCACAATTCAAGAAGGGATATTGACTAATAGGAGAGGATTTAGAAAAGAGCCAGGATAATGAGTAAAGGATTAGAAAACTTGCCTTACAAATGATAAACTGTGTTTAATTTAACAAAATGAAGTTTATGGGGGGGACGTGGTTACAGTCTGATACCTACACTGGGAACAAAAACTTAATAATGAGCCCTTTCATCTAGCAGACAAAAAAATAATATTCAGTGTTTGGAAGTTGAAGCTATATAAATTCAGACTAAAAATAAGGTATACATTTTTAACGTTTAGAATAATTAGCCATTGGAGCAATTTATTGGGGATTATGGTGGAGTCTCCATCTTAGGCAACTTTTAGAAAAATCACTCAATCTTAATTTAAAAGATATATGCTCTACTTCAAACTAAAATTCATTCAGTGCAATTCTATAATGTATGTTCTTCAGCTGAACTAACTAGATGATAAAAATGTTCATTTCTGCCCTTATTTATGTAACTGTGCATTTTTATGATGACAGCAGTTTATATTTTCATATTCTGAGTTTGAGTAATCTCTACTAGTTCTTACACAGATGAAATGTTTTAACTGAGACAATGCATAGAGGGCTTGAATCAAAGGCCACTGAAACCCACTTGAAGCCCTTCCATCTATTATTATTATTATTATTATTATTATTATTATTATAATAATAATAATAATAATAAGTCAGAAACATTTGTCATCCTAAAACTACATTGTCATCATTTTGATATACATTGTTTTAGAAATAATACCAGGGAAACTGTTTTTTTGGGTTTTTTTTAAGTGTAAAGGTGATTGAAGACCCCTAGCTCTGGCCTGTGCTGAGTTTAGGTGATCATGGGTCACATGATATAGCATCACCTCCTGTAAGCTAGCCTGCATAATCTTACCTGTTCACTTATTGGAAAAAACATGTAAGAAGCAAGAAGGCTCTGGAAGTAGAGCAAGGATTGTGGCAAATAAGGATGTGAATGGTTAACCTGTAAGGGCTGGAGCAGCTTCTCACCTGCTGCAGGTAAGGTGCTACTCCAGCTCCGGGGGGCCCACCACAGGCAGGGGCTGCTCCAGCTGGCCAGCAGCCCTTGTCCATGGCAGGCCTGGCTCCCATGCACCATAGGTAAGGGCTCCTCTGGCCAGCCAGAGCAGCCCTTATTCATGACAGGGGGCCACTACAACTCGTATACAACGAGCAAGGGAGGGGCCACTCCACCCTGCTTTAATTGGTCAACCAGCTAAACATATAACCAGTTAAATGTATTACGTCCATAATAGCAAGCTAGGGAGTCTTTTCAGAATTTAGGCATAGGCCCTAAAAGGATGACCAGAAGAACCTGCACTATTTGGTTGGGAAAAGAGATGCAAAGAATCTTACTGACCAAGTGAGGAATGATTTGAACTGGGAAGGACCAAGAAAATTTGCTTGTATTATGGAAGTGGAATGGTTTAATAAAATAGATCCCCAAGAGGAGAAGTTAATGAGAACCTGTGGGTGCATATTAATTGGAGAGTTGCAGGAATGGGGGCGGGGAGCTGAGCCTTGGGTGACTATTGCTATATCATTTAATGGGCAGCCGTGAGTCACACTTTTCAATTTCGAAAGAATAAATGTTGGGTTGGGCACATGATATTGTAACATGGCAGAAGTGTCTTATCCTATGAGACAGCACTGAATGGAAATAACCTTTCTAACAGGTTAAATCAGAGCATCAACGTGCATTAGTAATACACTACATATTTGCTTCATAAATCTTCACAGGCATCACAGATGCTACTGTTAATAGTTTGAGACATTAATCTCAAAGGAAGTTTCTATCTCATTTTCATCCCCTTGTTTCCCATGTTTGCTTCTATGAAAGATTTCTAATTGTAATCAGATTACGTACTTTAAGGGTATGTCTACACTAGGAAATTATTTTGTAATAACTAAATTTGAAATAACAACTCCCAAAATAACAAAATCATAGTAGCATGTCCCCACTATGGAGGAGCCTCAAAATTAGTCTGAGGCAGGTGTCATTATTATGGGCGCACTACCTCAACTTTGAATTACTCTGTGGAGTAGTTATTTCAAAATAGCAGCAGTGGAGCAACCACACTAATGCTACTTGGAAATAACTATTTTGAAATAAGTGTTAGTCCCTGAGGAAATCAGGAGTACAGATTTTGAAATAATCAGTTCATTATTTCAAAATTACTGGGCTTGGTAGTATGGACTCTGATTATTTTGAAATAACTCCCTAGTGTAGACTAGGGCTTAATGTTCTCTTAATTTTGTCACTATTCAGGTTTAGTGTTTTAACAAGGCCTTGGCAGAGATGGTTTTGGTGATTGCAATTTCTCTTATGGCTGAATCACAGTGTCTTGTTAGTACTGGCTTCAGGGGAAGATTGATTTTTTTTTCAGCTAGCCTGAAGATAGCAAGTTCATGCTTATTTGTTATAGTTTGAAGACTTTTTATTAGTTGTGTGAGGGGGAAATTGTATTTTCTCAGGTTAGTGGCACACATCCAAACAAGCGTGCACATGTTCAGTATTGGTGCACAAGACAAAACTTACTCTGCTCATGGATGGAATTTCCTGGAGAGAACACTGAATGGGTTTTAGGTCAGTTCTAAATAAAGGTAGATAGTTTAATATTTACCCGTTTCTATCGTGTTGAGTAACCTGGCAGGGCCTCTAATAAGTCCTCAGCTAACTTTACATGTGTAGTGGAATTATTTCTGCTTCTATTTGTGTTCTTCCATCACCTCAAAAAAAAAAAAAAAAAAGCCTTTCCTCAAAAACAAAATAAAAGTAGCCATAATTATTAACAGGTGTCAGTGTAAGGATCCCAGTCCTGCCATGAACTCTACTGGGGCATACCCACTACACACGTGTGGATTCCGTCCGTCAGTGAGACTCTTCATAGGACAGAAGACTGCTTCCTTCAAGCTCATTACAAGGGTTAGGAGGAAATTAGGAATCAAGGTCCTTTCTTGAGTATATTATTTTTTATGACTTATTTCTCAACTCAACTTCCAGGGAGCCCCCTGCCACCCCACGCTGCTGTGTCTGTCAGAGGCAGTAGTGCAGGATGGCAGGCAAGAGCCAGTCTATAAAGGGAGCCAGTTTAAAAATCAGCTTCCTGCATTACTGCCTCTGAAACAGAGCCAGTAGTGTGGGATGGTAGGAGCCCCGGTCCGTGGTGGGGATCTGAGCTCCCCGCGGATGTAATCTGCTCCCCGGCAGCAGTCTCTGTAACAATCACAGGCCACTGCAGACAGAGGCTTCTTTGCTGTGGCCTCTCATGCCCCCCTCCCCCCCACACACACCTCACTGTTGCTGTTGATAGAGGCAGCAGTGGGATGAGAGGCAGCACCATGAAGCTGGTGCTGGAGGGAACCAGCTTTTAAGCCAGCTTCCCACAGCACTGGTTCTTGCCTCTTGCCTCTTCTCCCCCCCCCCCCCCCCAACAGAGCGGGTCCATGGAGCCAGCATGCGCAGAGAACCTGCTAGCTGCCTGCAGCTCTCACCTGCCCTCTTCATCCTCTGTACTGCTGTCTCTGTATCAGAGGCATCAGCGCAGGGGGAGGGAAAGGGAGCAGGCGGATTCAGTGCTCATGGGGAACTGGCTTTTAAGCCAGCTCCTCTCAGGCACTGGCTCCTGTTCTTCCCCCTCTCTCCCTTGCTGTTCCTGATACAGAGGCAGTGGGGAGGGAGGTTGTGTAGTTGACAAGATTAACTGATAAGCTCAAACGTGAGTTTATCGGTTAATCGTTTATTCATCTACACATTGACATCCTTAGTGTTACAAGGAGAAGGGAGAAAAATTGTTCTTTCTTACTTCCGGTGATAGGACAAGAAGAAATGGGCTTAAATTGCAGCAAGGAAGGTTTAGGTTGGACATTAGGAAAACTTCCTAAGTGTCAGGGTAGTAAAATGCTGGAATAAATTGCCCAAGGAGGCTGTGGAATCTCCGTCACTGGAGATATTTAAGAGCAGGTTAGACAGACATCTACTAGAGATCATCTAGATGGTGCTTGGTCCTGCAGTGAGGGCAGAGGACTGGACTTGATGATCTCTCGCGATCCCTTTCAGTTCTAGTATTCTGTGATTCTAGTGTGGACTCCGGGGTGGGCTGTGGATGAAAGCTTTGGGGTGTGGGGAGGTCAGGGCTGGGGCAGGAGGGATTTAACTTGAGTGGTTCCCAGTCAGCGGTACATTGAGGGTGTGAAGGCAGGCTTTCAGCCTCTTCTGGCACCGCAGACCATGCTGCGCTCAGAAGCGGCAAGCAGCATGATCTGGTTGCCAGCCAGTGGGATTGTAGAGCTAGTGCTTGGGGCAGGGGTAGTACACAGAGCTCCATGCTCTCTTCACTCCCCCTCCAACCTAGGATGCTTCTGGGGCGCAGCGCAGTCTGCTGTGCCAGGACAGGCAGGTAGCCTGCCTTAGCATCCCCTCTCCTCCCTCCCCCCTCATTGATCACCTGATCTCCCTATAGCAGCAAAACCCAGTGCCTGACATTCCACAACCCAGTACTAGGTCACAACCCATAGTTTGAAAACCAGTGCCTTAGATGGCAAGGTTACTGTGTACATTGCGTGACTGCCAGTCGTGGAATGATTAAATTTTTAGAAAACCTGTTAGG